GGGGCTACGTATTCCATAACATGTACTCTTAGCATAATGTTTGATTTTCTTTCCTTATTTCTTTACATATACATCTAAAAGATAGTATTCACCCTTGATTCTGAGGCTATGTTTTTCAAATACATTCATAACTTGTCATATTCTAGGAGCACTGCACTTTGTTGCAGGTTATCTTCTCGACAAGACTGCTTCCTCACCCACTCGTTCTCTGTTGTTCTACTTTACCATTGTTCCTCCATCCTTTGTTGCCTTGCCACCTCTCTTTGCGACCGTCCTCTATTCTGTCTCCTGCACCTTATTCCTCAGCCCTGGCTGTCTATGCTGTCAGTTTCTTCTTCTCACGCTATAGTTTTCTCTACATCTTATTTTTTCTTCATTATTATGTCCCTCTCAGTTAATACATTGTATTTTGTGTAATCAAATGATCCCTCATTTTTTAATAAAATTTCACAGTTGTAGATTGTAAGATTCATGGTTTGAACATTGATATGCTACTGAACATACTCTTCAGCTTTATCAGGGATGGGAGTAGTATAACCATGACAATAAGTCAGTCAAGCTATTTGGTCCTGTAGTCATGTAAACAGCAAGTGCTGCTGAATAATTGTGCATCTCTTGATCAACAGTTAAAAATTAGGAACTGCTATGTCTATACCTTGTGGTTCTAGTTTGGCATTTTAGCCAATATTCAAATGGAAAATACAAAATACCAGCTTTAAGGTTTTTTAAAAAATAAAGTATATAATAATGCAAACGTTTTTTCTTGGCCTTTCTTTAGAATTTTTATGTACCAAATTTGTTGGGGGGGGGGGGTATAATTTTGCTATACTGAATAATGATTCATTATTTTTGTTAATGGCTAGTCAAGATGATTTTTAGTGGTTGTTTAGACCCAATTCTAACATTTCTAGTCTAAGGGAGTGATTTTCAGTAAGTCTCTACATTTTTAGTATGTCTTGAAATAAATTGATAAAATGTATCAACCAGTGCTTAATTTTTTATTTTAATGATTGTTTGTTTTGGATCACATTCAAGCTCGGTTCCTACACTATGATTTGTTGGTGACACCATAAGACTTAATAATTTTGAAAACATTAACATTTGATAAAAAGAAATATATACAATAGGAAATGCTTTAAATTTCTTGACTCAAACAGTAGGGGAGCAGCAGTCTTGAAAAAATAGTGGATATATTCTTTAGGCCAGTGGTATGCAAATCAAAGGTATTTAACTAACACTTTTTATCACTGAAATGTCTTTTTTACATATACATATATATTTCAGAGAAATATATATAAAACATTGTTAACAGTTTACTCAGTTTTATGTTAAATAAAAAATGAAAAAAACTGGGTTATAATTGTCACTTTCTATTGACCAGGTTTTAATACATATTGTTTTTTAAGTGATTTATGTTTTTATTTTCTCTAAAAAGACTCTAAAAGGATGTAATGCATTGCACTACATCATTGTTAGATTTATATATAACTTTTCTAATTTTGCAGGACCGGAAGGCTATTATAAAATCTATGAAAACTCATGTTAGTAAAGTAGCCAAGGAAGAACATGGGCACATATGGTTTTACTGGCAATATTTGATGCTGTTGATGACACCAAGTTGGTGGAGAAAGCCATTATTAAGGTATGTGTTACTTGCAGGTTGTTGGTTATTTTTTCATTTAATCAACATAAGAGAGAGTCTGAATATTTGTTAGTTATTGACTGAAATAGCATTGTTATCGAGAAAACAAACATGGTAGTATCAAGATAGTAATTTAAAAAAATTGTCTTCTGATATTGTATTTATAGATATTATTATAATTTTTATCTAATCACTGACAGTGCCAGAAGTGTTCAGTGTGGCATCAGTGTGTGGCAGACTTCATTAGCTGATTCTGTCAGGTTATAGTCTTTAAATGATTTGAACAATCATTTGAATGTTACAGTTTCTTGATATAAGAAACTAATATTAAAGAAAAGTAACATATTCTGTATAGTATAATCTGTAGAACATCAATGTACAAGAGGTTAGTTGAAACCTATTTTAAACAAGGCTTAAAAAATAAACTGATAAAAATTTACTATTTTGTAAATTAGTTTGTTAAAAGCTTAAATAGAGACATAGCTCTATTTATTTGCCATTCATATGATTCTTCTAGAGCATCAAAGTTGTAAAAATCATGCTGTTTCTTACTGCTATATACTTTGGATGAGTTTACTGGTAACATGTATTTTAAGAAATGGCAAGTTTCTAAAGTTTAAGTATTTTCTTAATGAAAAACTATTTTTTACGTCAGGAATTAAATACAAACTTAATGGAACTGGTGCAAAACCAAGAAAGTAGGAAAGTCTTGCTGTACTTATTATGCCATCGAGACAGTCACTTCTTTCATCCAGACATAGTCAATATTCTTAAGCAAGGAGATGAAAATGCTACAAGGTAAGAGAATCTTCATGGACAAAAATCATAAAAATGAAGTTAGACTAATGAATTTGATTTAACTATTCAATATTGTAAGATTAAAATCTGTGAGAATTTACGAAGAACACCTGATTTGATTATTTGAATAAAAGCATATATCTTACCTTATGTGAGATTTCACTGTTATGGGAGATTTTCACTGTTCACATTGTAAAGAAAAATACTTTATTAGTTATTGTTAGGTTTTTATATATGGACCGAATTCTTTACAGTAGGTGTCTATGAGTTGTTGATGATAAATTTCAACAATAAACAAACAGCAACACATAATAATGCATGGAGATGGCATGAAGGGGGTTCCTCGTCATCGAATTTGAAACAGCAACACAGTCTACTTGTTTTAAAATAATATATTAAAACAAGTCAAACATGTATACAAATATTCATTACACTGTTGGTTATCACAGTTATATCCAGAGCTTTTAAGAATTTTCTTTTTCGTCAAAGTCCACACAGGCTGGTTCAATTACTTTAGAACACAACTGACAAGATGAATTATTCTTCTCCCTTTGTTACTACAATACAGTCTGTGATAATTTCACTTCAGAAATCACCACTATAACTGTTGATTACCACAGTTGTATCCAGAGCTTTACATAATTATCTCTTTTTTTCATCAAAGACCATACAGGTTTGTTCAATTACTTTAGAACACACTTTGACAAAGCAAATTCTTCTTCTTCTCTACTGTGTTATTACAATAAATCTGTGATAATTTCACTTTAACAATCGCCACTATATGCTCTTCATGACTAAATTCACAATCACATAGTATGGATCTATCTTTCAAACTACATTTTTGATGAGTATTTATACCCTGACAGAGGTCTAGAATGTTCCACACACTAATAGATATTATGATGCAATAATACTTGATTAAAACAATGAGAAATATTCAGAAGGTTC